GGTATCTCCAGTCTTGCCTCGGAATGATTTTTTTCTCGAACAATCAGAGGGCAAGGGTTCCTCCCGAGCCATGACGGACGGGTTCTGGAAGGGAACCTTCGCACAAGCAGCTGCTGATTTTGGTTCCCGCTTTGTCCCCCCCGCCACAGCAGCAACTGCATGATCGTGCTAAAGATTGTCACGTGCCGGGTCTGCGCATGTTGGTTGCTATCTGACAAACTCAACAGAGTAATAGTAAACGAATTGGACTCACATGGAAACCTTCCTTCATGTTAAAACAGACTACACTGGCCTTAACAAGACTACAAATAGGGAGGGTCTGCGATGTGAACAAGTCAACCGGTCAAATGCCCAGTGGCTATGGGCAAAAAAGGGCATCCTGTTTGGTTGGTTGATTGTAAAGGGGAACCCTTCCCAAGAAAAAGAGAAACACGGGTGCCACTGGGCAAGTGGGCTCCCCTGCTAAAAGCTTTTCACTTTTAGTGGTTTAATGGAAAATCCATTCGTTGGCAACAAGTTGTTCAGTCCCAACATCCCTTGGCAACATGCGCCAAAGAATAGTGCAACACTCCTGGCCTTGCAGGACCTGCGCTAACACCTAAAAACCGGCCAGCGCCCCCAAAGTGCTGGCCCAGACTGCTTGCGCCGTCATGTTTTCAAGGCTCTGTGGATTCTACCCAAAAGAGACCGCAGGCCCTGGCTAAGAATGTTCTCGCGTTTGCTTCGAGCTGTTGCCCGGAAACAGCAAGCATCCAGTCGATTATCCTCTATGCCCTTTCTTGCGCTTCATACCCATGGCAAGATGTTGACCGAACAAAACAACTACGCCAAGGATCCTCACATCTCCGCGCACGAGATTTGTTGAAGCCAATGTGTGAGGGGTGGCGCAAGGCGAAAACAACACTGGCAGAAACGGAAGGCCCCATGTTTTCATGATCAAAGTCACCGGTGCGTTTTAAAGGGAAACCACCCCAGTTCTGACTTTGATACGCCCTGGAAGCCCTCAAAATCACCCCAGAGCAAAGGAGTGCGAATTCCACGGCAGTGGCCAAGACGCCCGAATCCTCCGATTGTTCGTTCTCAAAAAAGCCGCCTCCGGGATCAGCGGGTCGGCGAGGCAAAGTCTTCAGCTCCCCTCTCGAGCGTTGCATCAGAGCCCGACCCACTCAGGCAGGCGGTAGATTGAGCCACAAACGCGGCGCAATGCCACTGGGTGGTACTGGCCCAAGCTGAACAGCTGGCGGACGCGCAGCCTCTTCGTGCTCCAGGTGTCCAAACTGTTCTTGCCACGTCTGCTTCCGCTGCTCTTCTCGCTGTCCAGCTGCGGCTGCTCCGGAAACTCGAGGGGGTGCTTTAATTTTGACCCCCCATCAATCATGCGCCCGAAAGTTAGGGACCCCAAAGAAACGGAGGGCCACGTCGCAAGCCCCCGAAAAGGGACGCCTGTTTTGGTCTCGTGCCATGCACCCAATACCCATGTTGTTCAATTTATGACAGGACCTTGACGAACAAACCCTGAAAAAACCAGGCCTTTCAAAAAAAAAGCTCCCGTGAACAAGCCGGATTTGCGGAGAGTGATGTCCTTAAAAACGAACACCGGAAAAAAAGGTCGACAAGCCGGATTTCTGGAGAGTAATATCCTTAAAAACGAAAACCGGAAAAAAGGCGTGAACGAGCCGGATTTCTGGAGAGTGGTTTCCTTGAAAAGAAAATCCCCGTGAACGAGGCGCATTTCTGGAGTGCGGTTTCCTTACCCACAGGCCTCGGCGGGAATTTTTAAGGGACCGCCGTGGACCCGCGGAGCTTTTCGTTTTTCGCCGCCTGCTCGCCCCGCAGCAAACTCGCGGTCATGGCCAGGCCCATGTGCCTCAGCCAACAGTGGCTTGAGGCCTGTAGGGCACTGGGCCCGGATACATTGGGCAATATCCATGTAAATTGGTTTATATATATATATATGTATTAGTATATATATATATAACATCCCACATTCTAGGTGTGGATCATGAGGGGGGTGACCATATATATATATATATATGTATAAATATAGTATTATATATATAATTATAATTTACAAAGGACATGGGCGTAATAGATTAAGTTGTAATGAGGAGGACATTGCCTGATGGCTTCCTGCACGCAAAGGGAACGGAGCTCCATCCTTTTACAAAGCCGCCCCCTTGACCGGGCAAATCAAGCGACCCTTGGAGAAATGCATGAACTGTCCGGATGGCCAGCTTGGCGCTTTATAGTATATCAATTTGTGCTGAATCCTGGTGAGTTAAGCGCGCCGTGCTTTGTGGAGTGCGGCACAGTATTCGGGCAGCCAGGGTTACACCGAAATGAGCTTGGTGCCTTCTTTGTGAAGTGTCTTCACACGCAGTAGGAAACCGGAAGCAACCTTTACCTCAAAGCTTGTAGAGCCAACCAGGTGAAACACTAGTAAGCACACCGATCCAAAACTGCTGAGTGTCCAAGGATTCTTCGCGAAATCAAGACACATCCAATCAGCCCATGCAGCAGGGGCACCAACCTGAACTGTCACACAATCCATGGCACATGACTTGCGCGTCCGCAGGTTTGCGGCGAACGCAAATAGCCGGCGCTGCGCTTTCCCTCCCCAACATCGTGGCTTGACGAGTCTGTCACTTTTCTGGGTTGGCCGTCAGCTACAACCACTTCTGGACAGCTGGCAGAAGAGAGTTGGGTGTGGAGTCAAGTTTGCATTTGTTTTAATGATTTCTTTTTTTTTTTCCGGGGATGTCTTCTTCTTTTTTTCATTTCTTCGAGGGCCAGTTCACTAGGAGATGGCCTTCCACATTGAGTTTCCTTCTACATGTTGCGTGCAAGGAATTCCTTGGGGTTGGTGGCAATCAACACGCCTAACTTACTGGACTGACAACCCTTCTTTGTTTTGGGGGCCATCAACAAACGTGGAAGTGTACAGACTGCCTTTGGACGACTACTTGGAAACAAGTTCCAAAAACTTGCATGATTGGTGAACAAACAACCTAGGTGACCCACTGTTGGTTGAATGAAACACGGGCTTATGGAAGGATTGAAGGCTGCGTTGTGTTCATGGCCAGCGATGATATCAAACGATTCAATCCGTCCGAATACCTGCAAGACGCCTCCCACACACGGCTATGTGTCAAGATATAGAGGGACACCAAACATGGGTGGTTTGTCCTTTTGGTTTCCCTTCTCACCAACCCCAAGAAGGGTAGAAACTGACCATACCAAATGACCCTTCCCTTCATCACGCATCTTCTGAGCAGTCAGCTCGCCAAAGTTGTTCTTATCGTGCTGAGAAACGTTTGATGTCCAAAAGAGTCGATGGTTCCAAGATCTTGTTGGCCTATTGTTAAAGGGTATGTTCCAGGGCTTTGGTGGTACAACGTTCAAAGTGTTCCATATTCCCCAGGGGACTCACCTGCCTTTCAAGTCGCCCAACTCTTCTTATTCCTCCAGTAGAATAACAGTAACCTTTTTTCTGTAGTCTATCTTAGTAGGGAACCCCCCCCAAAAAAAAAGTTGGTCAAAGGACACCTAGCTGGGGGACCTAGTCTTGGACGTTGCCCAACACATCCCGTTTCTCCGTTGATGTCGGAGTCGCCCAGCAACAACAAAGAGCCGTTCTTTTGGGGTGAGCCCACGAAAGCAGGGCGCCACGCGGAGCTTGGCGATCGTGGGGTTCGTTCTGACTCTGCGTTTAAAAGTACCGAAGGGCCCCGGATTTGGGGGGGGGTTGAAACATACTGTGGATGGACGAAATCCTCTTTAAAAACATGGGAAATCAGAATTTGTGGGTATTTGCCGGGGGAATCGAATCATTCTATGGGTTTCTCAGGTGATGCGAAACAGATTTCGAAACCATCCACAGTAGGGATGGGTTGAAACATGGGGCCCAGGAGCCCAAGGCCCGACAAAAACATGAGGGCCTCCAAACCCCCAAAAGCCTCAAATGAGGTCTTGGGCTCCTAGGGGGGATTTGGCAGTTTTGAAATGATGTTTCTTTGATGCTTCAGCAAAACATAAAAGTCATGGGTCTACGTTTACAGCAGGGACCTGAACAAGGGGGAGGTGGCAGTGAAATGTTTGAAACATAGAGGTTTTGTATTTTTTCTTACGTTTCTTTGACACTGCAACAAAAAAAACATGTCCGTTCGTTTCTTTGACACTTAAAACAAACAAACAGCACAAAGTTACGGAAGAGTTGCCTTCTCCAGATTTGGGGCACTCGCCTGTCTCCGGCTTCCGAAGGGAGCTCAGCTGCCCGGCTGAAGCGTGACCACGTCGCCTCCGTAGAGGCCGTTGGGCCTCCGGGTTGATGCGCCGGAGCGGGTGGGGGTCGAAAGCCGGAGACCCTTTTTGGGTGGAAAAGCCGTTTAGCCCCCCTTGCGGTTGGTCCATTTGAAAAGGGAGTCTGGTGGAGTATGGGGTAAACCCCCTTTGTTTGGGTTCTGGGCTTTGCCCCAAGCAACCACCAAGCCTTGTATAAGGGAAGCACACATTTAATTTTTAGTGGTTAAGTGGTTGATTTCCACCACTAACCCACAATTTACGCAAAAATGGAGAAAACAAACATGTTTCCCAACAACAACCATGAGAGGCGCATGTCTGTCCCTCATACCATGCGCCACGGGCACGTCATGGCACGTCTGCTCATTCGCCCATGCCCAACTTGAGCCAAGTTTGTGGAGAGGGCGCTTACCGGCTCAAGACAATTGAGTACACACGACATGGACAAGTAAACAAATCTCGGCCGACATCTTTTCAGGAACCCTCCAAATAGTTCACCAGCAACAGGCAAGTCTATCCATCCTCAGTTGTTCAGTGACCATGGAAATAAAAGAAAGAATTGGAACCCGTTTTTGGGGCTTGGACCATTTTAGTGAGGCCACCAAACAAAAAACATGGAAAAAGAAAAAAGGGAGCCACTGAACTGATGCTCAATCAACTCGAGGTTTGGGCAACTCGCCTGTTTGTTGCTCCCCGGGTGGCTAGAATTGGAACCCCTTGCCGCTGATCCAAAGCGCATCCAGCATGGTGAGCTCGTTGTTCGTTTCGCTCGCCAAAAAGGAAGCCCAACCAAGGCGGCAGGGCGGTGTGCACAAATCCCTTTGGGGCCCCCGGCGCTGGCTCCAGGGCTCCAGGCAGCGGGCCTGACGAAACCGCAGGCTTTGCTGTGTGGACTATAAACTCAGGATTCTTGGTATTCATTTGGTTGAAAACTCTGATGCCGTATTTTATTATTATTATTATTATTGTTTTTACTACTACTACTAATAATAATAATAATAATAATAATAATGAAAATAATAATAATAATAATAAGAATAAGAATAATAATAATAAGAAGAAGAATAACAACATAATAATAATAAGAATAAAAAAATAATAAGAATAATGACAATAATAAGAATAAGAATAATAATAAGAATAATGATAATGATAATGATGATAATAATAATAATAATAATAATAATAATAATAATAATAATAATATTAATATATAAAGTAGTTTGGGTTATAAACCACAGACAGTTCTTTTTGATATAGCCTCAGGATGTTGGGTATCAATTCGGTTATAAACTCGGATTTGTGGGGGTTATAAGCTCAGGATTATGGGTGGTTGAAACTCAATATTAACGGGTTGGAAACAGCAGGTTTCTGGTATACATAGGGTTGTAAACTCAGAACGCTTGGTATACATTGTAAACACAGGATCTGAGGTATCAATTGGGTTATACACTCGGGTGATTTGTTTTGAATCGGGTTGTAAGTCCGGATGTGTGGTGTACAGCGGCGTATAAGCTGCGGAGTGTTATATAAATCGGGGCATAAACTCAGGATATCGGGTATCAATTGGGTAGAAGTTGGGCAAACTCAGGCATGTGGGTTCTACATTGGCTTGTAAACTCAGGAAGGTGGGCATAACTTTGGTTATGAACTCTGTAATGTGGGTAACTTGGGAACTCAATAATTTTGGTATGCATCTTTTTTGGATTGGGTGATGGATTCAGGAATCTCGGTATAAATTGGGTGACAAGCTCAGGAATCTGGGTATAATTTGGGTCCTGTCGTTTGCACCCGGTAAACCAACCATTTAGGCTTAGAACCCCCTATCATAAGCAAGGGCGGCGAAGCAGTCATAAAATGTCACAACCTCTTTAACATGAGCAGTCAACAACAGGGTGTTGATTTCCCTGTTGCTAAAATGACAACACATTGCCCCATGATCCCGAAAGCAATTGGTCGAATAGCATCCCACAAGCCCATTTCAATTAGACTTAGAGCCCTATTGACTCATAGTACTCTGCCACGACTGGACAATGGGTCCAAAAGGAATCATATTCCAGGTGATCTCTCGCAAATGCTAAGAAAGGAAGGGTAGAGCAGGCCCAAGTTGCTCTCTAATGTTGACTTCATATAAAATCAACCCCAGTGTGCGAATAGGGAAAAAATGTCCCCTTCAAAAGTGTTCTGAATCCCCACGTTTCACCCGACACCCCCGAAGTTAGTAAACTGGGGGGTTGGTTGATGGGGTCAACATGAGCTCACTTGCCCGAAGGACCCGGAAATAAAAGGTTAACCTTTTGGGGCCATGACTAAAAGTAGACCAAAAAGGAAAAAAGGTCAAAAGGTCGGCTTTGGGCAACTGAGTGAGTTACTGGCAATTGGTAAGCCGCAAACAAGGTTCTTGGGCGCGTTGCAGGTGACTAGGTCCCCCCCTCAGCCAAAGCAGGCAGGAGACACAGATGAAAATAATCAAGCAAACAGGGCACAAACAAATCGTGATGAAGCTATCAAACAAAAACACATCGCCAACACATCAACAAACAAACAAACAAACAAGCAAACAAACAAACAAACAAACCAAACTGGACTGGTCTGTCTCTTAGGGAACCACCAACCCAACCACTATGGCCCCTGCTTTGATTGTTGGCCGGATGGTTGGTTTGGGAAGTGGCGAAGTTTTCTTGTCATTCTAGAGAGAATGATCCCAACCGATCCCCAGTTTCGTGTCAGGGTCAGTCCTGTACCCATTGTCCCCTAAGCCAACTTGTTTTCCACGCGAACCAAAAAGAACAGACACACACACACACACACACGCGCCGCTTTTGCCCCTTCCGTCGCTTCAGCGCGTGGTTCCGATCTGCTCGCTTCAAGCGGCTGATGTACCGCTTCAGCCGCAGGTGTCGGGACTTGGCCCAGAAGACTCGGCTTCTTTGGAACGCGGCCAGCGACCTGCAGGAGTCTGCTGCAGGAACGGCACTGAGCGCCAAATGGGGAACTGGAAAAAACATACCAGCACCCAAACCAAGTAGCTACAATTTTCAGAATAGAACCCAAGAAAGGAATTATAATTCCCAGACTGGACATATTCGGGATCTTGAGTTGACCCCCAGATCGGTGTCATTTGCCAACTGATGCAAGTCGATCACCTTCTGTGATAAGTGAGCCATCCCATGATTTCTTGATAAGTGATCCTTAACACAGACATGGGCAACCCCATTTGCAAAGACAAGGGCTCGGCCACCGTTTGGATGTCAAAAGTGCCACTTAAGCTTTCCATGGGAGCAAAGGGCACCTCTGGTCAGTTTCCTTCTATGCTTTAGAGGTTGGGGCTACCTTCTCATTAACCCTCTACACTCTCCAGGGATTCAAATCCCACCACCAATCCAAGCCCCAACTCAGATATACCTGACTTGTTCTGTTTTGCTGCAACATAACATGGAACCCAAAGCAGGGGTCGTTGACCAGAAGACTCAAAATACCAAAGTGATTCCCATCCCCATGACTATCACTTTCAAGGGATTCCCTGTCCCACTCGAAGAAGTGGCCTTAAAGCCGAATTTTTCCCCCTCCCAAAAAAATAGCGGACGATTGGCCCGAAAGCTTTTTTCCACAGGCGCTCATCCAGCCGCGGAGACACCTTTTTACATCGCTGCGGCGAGCGTGTCTGCGCGCGGCGATGCTCAGTGTGTATGGTCACATGAGAGCTCCATCTCATCATCCTACTTTCCTCTCGAACTGCGCCGCGCGATTTCTCACGAAAGTGGTCTGCGCAAGCTGCATTGTTCCAGGCTGCTGCGCGCAAGTTGCTCTCTGCAAGCTGCTGCACGCTGCTGCACGCAAGTGCTCTGTGCAAGTTGCTCTGCGCAAGTGCTCTGAGCAAGTTGCTCTGCGCAAGTGCTCTGCGCCAGTTGCTCCGCGCATGTGCTCTGTGCAAGTTGGTCTGTGCAAGTTGCTCTGCGCCAGTTGCTCCGTGCAAGCGCTTTGCGCATGTGCTCTGTGCAAGTTGCTCTGCGCAAGTGCTCTGAGCAAGTTGCTCTGCGCAAGTGCTCTGCGCCAGTTGCTCCGTGCAAGCGCTTTGCGCATGTGCTCTGTGCAAGTTGGTCTGTGCAAGTTGCTCTGCGCAAGTGCTTTGTGCAATTGCTCTGTGCAAGTTGCTCTGCGCAAGTGCTGCAAGTCTCTGCGCAAGTGACTCTGCGCAAGTTGCTCTGCGCAAGTGCTGCCGGAGCTGTGGGAATGTACTTCGCGTACTATTTTTGTACTTAAAAGTTGCGATTTTCCAGCCGGAGCTGCGGGGGTGTGCTCCGCGTACTACGTTTGTACTTAAAAGTTGCGCGGGAGCACGCTCCGCATACTACGTCTGTACTTAAAAGTTGCGATTTTCCAGCCGGAGCTGCAGGAGTACGGTCCGCGTACTACGTTGCGATTTTCAAGCCGGAGCTGCGGGGGTGTGCTCCGCGTACTACGTTTGTACTTAAAAGTTGCGATTTTCCAGCCTGAGCTGCGGGAGCACGCTCCGCATAGCACGCTCCGCGTACTACGTTTGTACTTAAAAGCTGCGATTTTCAAGCCGGAGCTGCCGCGGACCAGGGGGGAATCGAACCCGCGACCGCGGGATTGCGAAAGCAGGCGCGCAAACCACGAGACAACTTCCAAAGGCCGTTTCGCGAGCAAGAATCTTGCACGGCGCCACAGCGAGAGCGCTTCGACACGCACAATTTCCGCAGAGGGTTCGCCGAGACTAAGACAAATTCGCGCGGCGCCGCAGCGAGAGCGCTTCGACACGCACGATCCCCGCAGAGGGTCGCGCGCGCACCGCAGAAATCGTAAAAAGTCCTCAGTTTTTTAACCTCGACCACGCGAATCTCCGCAGAGGGTCGCGCGCGGCATGCTCAAAATCGTAAGAAGTTTTCAGTTTTTGAACCTCGACCACGCGAATCTCCGCAGAGGGTCGCGCGCGCACCGCAGAAATCGTAAAAAGTCCTCAGTTTTTGAACCTCGACCACGCGAATCTCCGCAGAGGGTCGCGCGCGCATGCTCAAAATCGTAAGAAGTTTTCAGTTTTTTAACCTCGACCACGCGAATCTCCGCAGAGGGTCGCGCGCGCACCGCGGAAATCGTAAAAAGTCCTCAGTTTTTGAACCTCGACCACGCGAATCTCCGCAGAGGGTCGCGCGCGGCCCGCAGAAATCGTAAAAAGTCCTCAGTTTTTTGACCTCGACCACGCGAATCTCCGCAGAGGGTCGCAATCCCGAGCGACGATCAAACTCCCGCCCCGGCGCATAGAAACCTAAACTAACTTACATAGCTGCTAACGCCGAAGCTCTACGCAAGCTCTACCTAACCTTGGCTGCGTGCCACCTGGCTCTGTGTCACTTGGCTCTGGCCACTTGGGCTCTATGTAACTTGGCTCTATGTAACTTGGCTCTATGTAACTTGGCTCTATGTAACTTGGCTCTATGTAACTTGGCTCTATGTAACTTGGCTCTATGTAACTTGGCTCTATGTAACTTGGCTCTATGTAACTTGGCTCTATGTAACTTGGCTCTATGTAACTTGGCTCTATGTAACTTGGCTCTATGTAACTTGGCTCTATGTAACTTGGCTCTATGTAACTTGGCTCTATGTAACTTGGCTCTATGTAACTTGGCTCTATGTAACTTGGCTCTATGTAACTTGGCTCTATGTAACTTGGCTCTATGTAACTTGGCTCTATGTAACTTGGCTCTATGTAACTTGGCTCTATGTAACTTGGCTCTATGTAACTTGGCTCTATGTAACTTGGCTCTATGTAACTTGGCTCTATGTAACTTGGTAACTTGGCTCTATGTAACTTGGCTCTATGTAACTTGGCTCTATGTAACTTGGCTCTATGTAACTTGGCTCTATGGCTCTATGTAACTTGGCTCTATGTAACTTGGCTCTATGTAACTTGGCTCTATGTAACTTGGCTCTATGTAACTTGGCTCTGTGCAACTTGGCTCTGTGCAACTTGGCTCCGTGTAACTTGTCCAAGGGCTCCGCACGGAAGAACCCTTCGCGATGCTTTCGGGAATAAAATAAAAGAAAATACAAATACAGCAATCCTTCCAAGACCTTTAAGAATTGGATATCCAACAAAAAGGACCAAGTTGCTTTCGTTTGACTGTGGGTCAAAAATGGAGTAACCCCAAAATGGGTAGCCCTGGTAAATGGGTAGCCCAGGACTAAAACCTGCGGATTCCCCAATTCCTGGTGGTGGAATTTGGATCAACACCTGTTTTAGCCGCAGGCCCAGCTTTTCAGCCCGGCCTGGCGTTCAGGAAGGTCCACAGGGCGTGCCTGCGCCGGGCCTTGGCGCGGTCGTAGCACCGTTGGCTCTCCGCGCGGCTGCGGGTCGAATAGATGTTCCGCAGCTCCGGCAGCACGCTGTGCACGTGGTTCCTGGGAATCGAGGCTTAGGGCATATATATATATATAACATAGGGCATGTGTAGAAATACATATATATATATATATACATATCTATATATATAATATGTCCTTGAAGCATTGCAAGGAAGGGAAACAAGGATCAGAGCAAGGATCGATCTCACATCACGTGGTTCCACACCCTTGGTAACTCGGTCCGTTTCTCATACGAGTATGTCCTGCGTACGGGTTTTGAGGCTGCCTTCCTTTTTTTCCGGGGAGATTAGTACGTAAACATTGCACTGAACAAACATAAATTGGCCCAGGCGTGTTTCATCACCAAAGGGCAATATAACGACCCCTAGGTCTAGCGGTTGTTTTGGATGCCGAAGCGAGCCGAAGAGGAACAAAAGGGGCGACATCTGCGGCAGCCAAAGTGTTGCCTGTCTTGAAATCAGGAACTCCCAGTAAATGGGTGTGCTTTGTAAAAGGTACCTTTTTCAAGTTGGTTGTCAACAGAAACCACCAGGACACCAACCATTTTCGGGGTCTTTTTGCTCCATCCCTTGCCTTTACTACCGATATGAACTTCGGATTCATTCATCGGGAGGACGCTACTTGTCGGATCAGCTTCCTTTCAATTGGTGATTTGGATGGTTTGGTGGCTTGGACAAGTCCAATCCACAAACCACCAATCCAAACCACCAACCCAACTAAGGGCCTGATCAGAGAAAAACCCACCAACAAAGATCATTTGCTTGCTGAAGGGTAACCGCCCTTGACAAGTACAGCACTCCGAAGTCGGCACTCATGAAGGCGGAAACTAAGGTTCTGAAAACCCAAGCCATGCCTTGGCTGTCAGAACTAGGCTTCCATGACCTTGGGCGGACAAATCCTACTTCAGGCAGAGTGGGTTTCAGATCACATTGAAACATCTACCACCCGGCAGTGGACCATCGTCTCTTTGTAAAACCAACGTCTCACTTGACAGGTTGACCTTTTGGGACCTTTATGAAAAGTAGTTGCCAAAATTGGGAAACCATATCCGGTCAGATCCGGTCGAGTCGCTGTAGTTGCAAGTGAGATGTGAAAAAACAATACGTGACTTCCTCATCACCCTGGCCACTCGCACTGCCATCTGCCTCTTTGAATATTTGGGTCTGGTTCCTATTTTTGAGGCATCCCTTGGTGGTTTTGAACGGACACCAACAGAAAAATCACCAACTTGGGGGTCCCCCAAGAAAAGGTGCACGCGATTTCCAAGTTTCAACCACTAGTATGCAGCATCCATATTTGGGTTCCCTTGAAAGATCAAACTCCAGTTTCCCACCAAAACCTCTGATTTCCACAATGGCAAACCCAAGCTTCGGTGGCTTCACCGGGTGCCGACTCACGTACTCTTTGATCCAGAAGAGTTCCACCAGAGGAACTCCGCGCATATCCTTGGCGGCTGTTGCCGCTGCAAACATAAATCTTCTGTTTAGTCAGCGGAACTCCAAACAAATCAAAGGTTCAGGATCCGACATACCCTCCTTCCAACTATCCTGTAACTCGGTTGCTTTCTGCACCCCTGCCAGAGTGTACCCCGGCTAACCCCTAACCTAACCTTCGCCCCGGGGGGGGGGGGGTTCGGGTTCGGGTTCGGGGCCGGG